ACCCCCAAGGGGGGGGGGGGGGGGGGGGTTGAAAGAAGAGAAAGGAAGGAAGGAAAAGGGAAACAAAAATGTAATAAAGGAAAAAAAGGAAAAAGTAAATGAAAGAGAATATGAAGGAAAAATTACATGGAAGAAAGGGAAATTAAGGGACATACCATACTGGACAAGACCGGATGTGGTTGGACAGGATAGGATGGGACAGGACAGAATACAACACATAGTATAAAAGACAAGTCTGGATGTATTTTGATAGGATAGGATAGGATAGGATAGGATAGGCGGGACAGGACAGGATGGGACAGGACAAAATACAGCGCATAGTATACTAGACAAGACTGGATGTGTTTTGATAGGGTAGGACAGGACAGGACAGGACAGGACAGGAAAGGAAAGGAAAGGAAAGGAAAGGAAAGGAAAGGAAAGGAAAGGAAAGGAAAGGAAAGGAAAGGAAAGGAAAGGAAAGGAAAGGAAAGGAAAGGAAAGGAAAGGAAAGGAAAGGAAAGGAAAGGACAGGACAGGACAGGAAAGGAAAGGAAAGGAAAGGAAAGGAAAGGAAAGGAAAGGAAAGGAAAGGAAAGGAGTAATGAAGTAGTAGAAATGTGGAAAGAACATTAAATGACAGTGAGGTTAGAGACCACAGACCAAAGGTAACATGAACAGATGATAGAAACAGAAAATTGAACAGTGATGAAGAAGAAACAGTAAGTGAAAAGTTAAAGACAAATGATGTTACAAAAACCACTGTGTAACATGTTATTTAGCACTAGTTGACCAGGGAGATTCATTCAGCCCCATCAGTTCAAAGACCCTTCTGGAACCCACATTAACAAACATCTCCAGCTCTTTCTAATGTGTCATTTACAGCATCTCGTGCGTTTGAACACCTCAATTATACTGATATAAAACACTATTGGCTAATAAGTGGGCTTCATTCATGCAAAGCGTCCCAAAAAGCAGATACTTCTCCCCTCAATCCCTAAAGCCCAAAAACCTGAGAAGAACCATACTTAGCCATGCAGTGAGTATGAATGTCTGTGTGAGTCTAAATATGAATCTAAAGCTTAAAAACCATGACATTCATTGTACAATATTTTCTACTGTATGAATAATAAAATGTAATGTAAACTGTGTTTAGTAAGAGAACATGTGTGTATCAGTAGCAGTTGAGGCTGGCAGAAAATCCCAGAGACAATCACGCAGACCCACCTTGTCTTCTTTCTGTAAAAACATAGGGCGAACGAACAGTTACAGCATAACAGAGAACAAATCGTTTAACAACAAACACCCAACCAAAACTTCCAACTATAAACCAAATAACCTCAACACTACCCTGAACAAAATCTCAAGGCCAACAATAAAGCGAGACAGAGCTTACAACAACAAACACCAGCAACAAACAATGTTTCCACATGAAGGACAGTTGCACGAGCAAAATAAAACTGCACAGCTAATCCAGTAATGCTAGTTTTATGCCATATACTATAAACAGTAAGTAAAGGAGATACATTGAGTTTTTAAAGGGTTAGTTCACCCAAAATTGCAAATTCTGTCATTAATTACTCACCCTCATGTCGTTCCAAACCCGTAAGTCCTTCATTCATCTTCGGAACAAAAATTAAGATATTTTTGATGAAATGTGAGAACTCTCAGACCCTGCATAGACAACAACAAAACTGGAATGTTCCCAGACCCAGAAATTTAGTAAGGACATCGGTAAAACTGTCCATGTGACATCAGAGGCTTAACTTTTTGTGCGCAAAGAAAAATAACAATTTATTCAACAATTCTTCTCTTGAGTTAAAGTCTTCCGCTATTTTGGAGAGTACCACGACACATGCGCACACTTCCCCAGAACGTAATCAACATAATCAACGTAATCAGCGTTGTTTATGTTCAGCATGCGCGTGCTTTCTCCTGAACGTAAACGACGCTGATTACGTTGATTACGTTCAGGAGAAAGTGCACGCATGCGTCGTGGTACTCTCCAAAATGGTGGAAGACGATAACTCAGGGAGAAGAATTGTTAAACAAGTTATGTTATTTTTGCTTTCTTTGCGCACGAAAAGTATTCTCGTATTGAAGTTGAGCCACTGATGTCACATGGACTGTTTTATCGATGTCCTTACTACATTTCTGGGTCTGGAAACATTCCAGTTGTGTTTCTGTCTATACAGGGTCAGAAAGCTCTCAGATTTCATCAAAAAATATCTTAATTTGTGTTCCGAAGGTCTTGCGGGTTTGGAAAGACATGAGGGTGAGTAATTAATGACAGAATTTTCATATTTGGGTGAACTAACCCTTTAAGTTATGTTTATGTTTGAAAACCGAAGGTTGCTGGTTCAGTTCCCACAAGTAACTATCACCATTGTACCAAACTGCAGAACATCAGGTTACTCCAGCAAAATTTGTCATGCGTGCACAGCAAGTCACTTTGGATGATAGCATCTGCTAAATATCTACCTACTTAATGACGAAGCAAAAACATAACCTTTCAAATAGTTGGGCAATCATAATGTTTGCTCAAATTCAGACAGAATCTGCTTATTTTTATAGCGTCGTGCCTTGGCGCAACATTGCGGGACATAGCGCTGACCGGATGCGAAGAAAGACTGCGGTACGGATAAACTGCAAACTGAAAGCTAACAAAAATGACTGACACTGCAAAACATCAGGTGGGACAAGGAACAAACGGACAAAGAGGTAAAAAACAAAAAGAGGCGGCAAAATGCAGAGAAAAAATGAAAGTGAGAAGAAAGGGAGCTAGGATAGAAGGGGAAAGGGAGGGAGGCGCGTATGCGCAGTAAGGGATTGTCTTGGTCTTTGTTGTCCTTAAGGAGGGTAGCGTACATTGCGGGCAGCAGCAGGAGCAGCAGCACAGGAGGGACACAGCACACTCCCCGAGACAAAGCAGGCAGGGAGGTTTTCCACCCTCCCTTTGTTAAGTAGTACAAAGTAAGACTGTAACTACTTCTGTACAACTTAAAAAGTATGCTAAATGTTTGTTTAATGTTTTTCATTTTCTTAAGTGTTGTTTTTATATCTGCTTCTTCTCATTCCTTTTCCTTCTTTCTTACCTGCCACTGTCCTGACTGTCATCTGGAAGCATGTCAATGACAGGGAGAGGTTCACAGATGGACAGACTGACAGGAGATACATCTCCACCTTCTGATACTGGTTTGGGGTCTGAGCGATTGTTGTTGACACCTACAGGAGGAAAGAGACAACATTTCTGCACATGAAACATTAGGGGGACATTTAATAATATCAAAGCCCACTTGTAGCCTCATTGTTTGTTTCACAATGAATCTAGGTATCATGATATACTGGTACCATACCAGTTATCAGCCGATATTACAGATTTTTAAAAGATTATATTGCTATCAGCTCATATTTGAGATCTAATTGTACAAGAGTTATTATTGTTAACTGAAACTAAAACCATTAAAAAAATTTTTATCATATATATATATATATATGTGTGTGTGTGTGTGTTTCATATGTATGTATCATCACATAAGTACTTAAAATTAAATTTAAATGTGAACATAAAAGCTAATTTAAAATAGAATATAAATGTTTCTAAAATAACACTACATTCCACACAAATTTTTAACATTTAGATTACCTGCTATCATCTAAAACTCACTAAATGTTAATCATTAAAAACACTAACTACGTAATAATGCAGATTTTTTACCAAATCTCAAAATGAAAATTATAATTTTTTTCAGAATGAACATTATAATAAATATAAATAAAAAAATGTTATATAGTTATAAACAAATTGTTGTTCTCATGTAGCCATTAAAATTATTGATTTTAGTCAGTGTTTTATTTTTTATTTAGACAAAAGAGTACAAAATTAGGATATTAGCCATTTATTGGTTATCGGCCATAACGTGATTATTGGCTTGTCTGTATCAGCCACAATTTAATATTGGTGCATCCCTGATTAAGTATGGTGGCAGTGCAGCTTTGTATATATTATTTTCATTCCCATTTATATTTCCAGACGACTCACATACGCCATGATAGTTGATTTCCCACATGTCCAATGTGCTTAAATCTAAAACACATGAAAGGGATTTTCTGATCCTCACCTGTGTCACTCTGAGAGTCGGGACTAGGAGTCAACTCTTCACTGCTCTCCGAGCCATGCGTGCTACCTGACCCCACCACACCAGGTTTCCGCCCTGAAGTGGCGGCGCTATCGCTTATGGACTCTCGATGAGGTGGGACATTTGGTTTGGTTGGCTTTACTAGACCAAGAGAAAGTAAGAGAGAACAGATGAGAGGAAGAATCAAAAGCAACATGTCAAACATGCTCAATTATAAACAATTATTAAAGATTGTCAGATGATCATTGTGTGGTTCTAACAAGAAGACATGACAGATGGACAACTAGATGAAGGAGAAGGGGGCAATCAGGAGTTTGATCCGACAGTGTTAGTCATTCATTGGGCAAGGGCATTTCAAAGGTCCATCAAGCCCATAAATCTTAAGTAAATGGGGACCCAAACACGAACAAACAACACACACAAATCTGAAATCTGTTTGTGAATACATCACCTGTGGTATATTAAGATCATTAAAAGATTTGTAAGCAAGCATTAAAAAACACTTTTTAAAAACATTATCACAGCCAAAGTCACCTCAACCAAAAAATCAAATCAGATTTGCTAAACAGATGGATAAGGAAACGAAGACTACAGACAAACCCATGAGTTTGAAGTGGAACATGCAAACATGCATTAGATTTGATTAGCAAGGGAATGTACCATCCAAGAGGACAGAATCTACCCAAAGAACAGACCATAATACCTTCAAAGTCCAATCTAGTTTGCTTACCATCATCTGCAAGAGGAAAACATAGCAACACAAACAAGTTCCTTTAAATTCGACATCCATCTTTGATCTTGCAGGTATTTCAGTAAATATATGCAGAATATTTCTCATATTATAAGCTACAGAAGCACCTTCTGGTTTCTATATACATTGGTCTCAATGATCTTAGCAGATGTTATTGGTAATTAGTGTAAATGGTTGAATGCACAGTGAAATAATACAGGTTTGGTCAATGAGCATGTGATGTAAGTAGGGCATGTATTCTGAGGGAGAGGGAGGAAGAGATTTTATCGAGTACGTACGGAATGGAGGCGGTTTTTTGTCGGGTTTGTTGGGTTTGTTGGTTCCCCATGGCTGTTCAACAGAAAAGGAAATGATAATATTAGACAAGATAACACAAATTCAGTTTGTAAAATGAAAATCAGAGGAATTATGTTGTATAATAAACTATGGAGCATATCTTCTAACCTTCAGCACGGAAGGGACAGAGGGCCGCCATCCTGACTTAGTCTTCTTGTTGTCAAGTGCTCTGGTCTTGACACCAAGGTGCTTCATATAAAAGGCAACTGCTCCAAAGACGCAGTTACTGAAGGAAGTAAAAAGAACAGAACAGGTTACAAAGAATATTGAAATTTGAATACTGAAAAAAAAGCCGCTTTATAGCTTAATGTGTCATCAGCAACACTTCAACAACGTAATTTTGCAAATAAAAAATTTCATGTTAATTAGGGTTTCTGTGACACTTGATTGGTTTTAGGGTGGTTCATGAAATGATGGTATTTTTGGTATTCTAAGTAAACTCAGATGTCCACAAAATTCAATTATGATATGCTTTATGAACCCTAAGTGCTTAAAATTCACAATTGCATAGACTGTATATATAAACACATTACTGCTTTTTTGAAGTAGTCTTTCATGCTCAATAAGGCTGCATTTATTTTGTCAAAAGAGTAAAAATAGTCAAATTGTAAATAACATATTAAAGTAGAATAATAAAAATGTAAATAATACAAAAATGTAATCTGTAAAATATAAAATGTAAATTATTCCTGTAATGTTAAAGCTGAATTTCCCAAAAGACATTACTCTAGTATTCAGTGTCACATGATCCTTCAGAAATAATTCTAATATGCTGATTTGGTGATGTTGAAAACACATGTGCTGCCTTATATTTTTGTGGAAACCATGATACATTATTTTTTTTATGATTCTCTGATGAATGGATTTTTTTTTTACATTATAAAATGTATTTACTGTCAATTTTGATCGAATTAATGCATCTTTGCAGAAAAATTCATTTCATTTAAAAAAAACCTTACTGACCTCAAACTTTTAAATGTTAGTGTATATTGTTTATCCCTCAGAGTTCACTATACAAAAATGTATGAATGTCACAGTTGCAGTGAGACAGTTTGTGAACAGAGGAATTTCCCTCTGTGCAACTCGAGTCATGTGATCTGCAACTAGTCAGTGCAATCCCCTAGTGCACTATCCAATTGCCTAAGTGCCTCAGAGGGGATCTTCAATTGGCATCAAGCCATTTCCTTCACTTTAAAAGAACAACAGAATCTCCAATGAAGGAGGAGAAAGGGAGGAGGGAGAGGGAGGAGGACTGGAAAGGGGAGGGACAGAAGTCTGGAGGAGGAGACTGTGCACATGTACATGTCCATTGTCTCATGCACACATGGATTAAGTGGCACAGCTGTGAATGACAAAATGAACAACTGCAACAGCTGCAAGTATTCACTAACAGTCTTTCTCATGGGCACATTGTGCACAATGTTAACTTCAGCCTGGAGTTCTTTTCATAATACATGCTTATTTTGCATTTCTTAGCAATCAAATCAATCCAACCAAACAATATAAACTGTTATGAATGACTGATAACTTCATAAAAATAAAATTTTCATTTGAAAAGATGGGTTTACAACTACAGAAAAGTAAATATATACTTTTACAACTACATAAAAGTGACTGTTTGATGACTTTAATTATATAAACAAAAAGTAAACGCACAAAACTACACACCAATCTATAACGCAACAATGATCACAGAAAAAGACATGCGACTGACTTTTGCATTCTGCATCTGCACTTAAAAAAAGATAAGAAGATAAAGAAAAAAGACTCACCTTTTGTCCTTGTCGGCAACAATTGAGGGGCTGCAAAAAACAAAACATAAATAATTAGAGGGATATCAAAGGAAAACTGCAACACAATGCTGGTCTAAAGGACTCACCGCTTAAAGTTAAGTAACATTTTTTCTTCCTCGTTCTCGACCGGTTTTTAACTCCGTTTTAGGACGGTGGAATCTAAAGGTTTCAAGCTTTTCCTGACTCAAAATGACAGTAACTGTTGTATTGTTTGTAGAATTCAAACTAATGAACATATTCTGTCACTTGCAAATTAAATTAAAAAAAAAATAAATAAAAAAAAAAAGATCTACAAAAAATGGTGGTGCATCAAAAAAATGCACTCAGGCAATTTTTTTTTAAATACAAAACAATGCAATGAAACAGTCTCTTGCAAAACTAGATGTCTGAGCTACACTATCTTCTCAAACTGCAAAAACTATGATGGCACTCTCCTAAGGCACTGAGGTTGTCCTACGGCGATGTCCAGAAGCAAGCGAAGTGCTCCAGCAGTGGAATTTGCTATTTAACTGTGTTTTTGCCTGATGCAACCGGCATGCAAGAACATGGAAATCAGATACTTATATTCCTATGATAATAAAAAAGGAGGAGTGTGATAAGGAATCCCCAGCGTCTGGCCAATCAAAAACCTTGATCCGCCTCTCAGATTAAGAGTGCAGCCAATGACAGCGTCTGTAAGTGAGGTCATTACTGTTGTACTGAGGGAGGAGCATGAATGAGGGAGAAAAAAAACTGTGCGAGAGGAAGTGGATAGTGTTTGGGAAAACAGAGGACGATTGTGTGAAAGCATATGAAGATTGAATACCCATATTGAGACCACTAGACATAAAAAGAATCAGTGTGAAGTCTCTGAGGACGCATTATGTCTCTAATAATGTCACTGAATGTGAGACACAATGTCTTCCATGCAGGTTTTTGTCACTTTACTTTGGCACAATGTCACTTTAGTCTAGCACAGGGGTGGTGAACGTCGGTGCTGGAGAGCCACAGCCCTGCAGAGTTTTGCTTCAACCCTAATCAAACACACCTGAACAAGCTAATCAAGGTCTGAAGGGTTACTAGAAAGCTACAGGCAGGTGAGTTTTAATTAGGGTTGGAGCTGTACTCTGCAGGGCTGCGGCTCTCCAGGACCGGAGTTCGCCACCGCTGGTCTAGCATATATTAACTATCCTGTCTCACTGCAAACCGGCTTTTGTCCCTCGCTCTTTTCCTCTCTCTGCTGGCCTCAAACGTGACCCCTGCCTCATCCCCCTTTCCATCATTCTCTCTGGCAGAGAGCCAAAGAGCAGAGACTTCCTGCCAGCGTGGCATTTCTGACTCCATCCTCTCTCTACCACTTCCTCTCTCTTTGCCACCATTTCTTTCTTCGGGATTAATAGGACAGACTTCAAATTGTAACATGGTGTGTTTTTAATAGAAAGAAAGAGTGTGCCTAGACAGAGCATCCAAACCACCTTGGACTGCATGAATCACGACTGCTGAGCACGAAAACAAATGGAGTCTGAATCAAACATTAAAGTATAGAGGCAAAATACATGCAATATAATGCAAAAACACAACATCATTCTGTCCAGCTGCATACTGAGCTTCTGATTCCTAAACAAATGACTCTTATAAGCCGGTTCTTTTAAAGAATCACAGTTTGATAAATCCTTACTTGGGCATTACTGAATCAACATCTGACTCACTATTCTCAGTCATGCCGAGACATTATCGGAGTAATGGCTGTGAAAATCCAGCTTTGCCATCACAGGAATGAATTACATTTTAAAATATATTAAAATAGAAAAAACTTATTTCAAATTGCAATAACATTTCACAATATTACTGTTTTTACTCTATTTGTGATTTTAAAAAATGCAGCCTTTTGAATGCTACTGTATACAATATGTATTGTTGTTTCATATATGTAGATAGGAACTACACTTATCTGTACAGATGGGGCACATGATAAAGCTTTCAATAGAGGGACATGTGTGGTTCCTTTAGTGGGCAGTGAGCACCAGTTTATCCATGCTGGCTTTCATTGTGTAAAAATAATGAACTGAATCCAGATTGACAATGTGCCTTGCGAAAGGCTCAGCGGTCTCCTCCTGTCTCACTTCCTGCATGGGGGTCCTCACTTTCCATGGGGTGTTATATTAATGCTTACAGCCCAGTGTTCACCCTATAATGTGAATCTACTGCACTCATCCACCCTTTGTGATGACTGACAATTAAAAAACCCAAGTTGCTTTGCTTAAAGAAACGGTTCACGTAAAATTGAAGACTTTTTTTTTTACTCTCACTCACATAATTGACTTTCTTTCATGGAGCACACAAAATAATTGTTTGAATTGAAAACAGAAATGCTCTGATATTAGACTTCTGTTCTATACATATTTATACTGTTCATGTGATGTTGAAAAATGGCAGATAGTTGCATTCATTTGATCAAAAAGTGTTCTGTGATGAAAAAGAACAGGATACATTTGAAATAGAAATCTTTTGTAACATTGATAACCATGTTAACTTCTTTAAAAATATATTAATCTTAAACTTTTAAACTGTGGAGTAAATTATATATATATATAGATAGATATACACACACACATACATTTACATATATACACACGCACACACACTTAAATCACTAAGAAATAAAATCAATGATTTTACCAGTTACTTTATTTACATTATAACAGTATAAAAAATTGTAATAATAAGCAACAACTAAACATCTAATAATAACCAATAGATTCTTTAGAAAAATCTTATTGGCAGCTAATCAATATGGTACTGATATACCGTGCATCCCTACGTAGTAAGAATAGGATTATAGCAGACAAATCTGATAAACTACACTTATTATTGTTTTGTTTGTCCTTTTTGTTCAGAGAAAAGAGCAGCCTGGCGATTGCACTACATATCTCCTAAATATCTGTGTGTCATGAAAGACAAACATTATATTGGTTTTAAACCGTGCCCATTTCAGGTAAGCAACCATTTAACTTTTGCCTTGTGTTTTCAAAAGGTGACTGAGTTGCATCAGTTTAAGCAAAGAAAGGCCCAATCCACAACAAAAGAACAATTTTAGAGCAAAGAATGAAGCTTCAATGGATATGTCAGCTGATCCTCAGTTAATTGAACTGCATATAAAGCACAACAGTGAGTGGAGTGAATTCTGATACTGCTATTATAGAATTCACTGCAAGGGGTCAAACAGCCCAGCAGCAAGAAGATCCTGTGCAGTATGAAACATTCAATAGGCATCACTTAGCAGCCGGTGAGTGAATATCGACAGAGACTCGGGGGTTCTGATCCGCTGTGAATGCAGATTTGACAATAGTTGTATTCTGTCTAAGCAAATCGAGAGGGAGAAGTATTTGTGATTCTCTATCCCACTGCATACATGGTGTTTGACTCAACAGGTCACCAAAAAAAAAAAAAAAATCACACAGCAGGCAGTTAGAAATCAGACTTGGATTATAGGTTAGGCACTGTGGAGGGCAGCAAAAGGCAAAGGTCTGGCTCTGTGTTTCAGACAAGACCAGAGCAACTGCTGGTTCTTTCTCAACCATGACAAGAGAGTCAAAGAGAAACCAGACACACTGAAAACTGACAGATGGGCTAATTCCATCAACTAGGGACAAATTAATACCAATTCTGGTAGTAATATACAGACATGAAATTTACTATAACAGTTCTTACTTGGCCTCTACCATCTTTTCCAGCATGGATTCAGCTACTGCCTTCTCCTTCATCTCCATGGGGATGCGGTCGGTTGGACGATGGGATTCCACGTCATTTAGTTCATGCTCATTGGGAGTCATTCCCATCATCCTCTTTTGCCTAATGTGGGAAACAAGTACAGGTAGACCGGTATCGTAATTGGACAAACGGGATAGATGAGTACTTGTTACCAGGGCCTGACATTTAGCATTTCCAAGACTTTACAAAAATTTAATCTTACATATGTGAACATAATGTGCATTGTGAATGCCAAGTGCTCCAGGTTCACTTTATTTTGAAATACACTTGCGGGCCCGTGACTCTCACCTGAAGTCGTCCAGCTGCCGCAGAATCTGTGGACTCTGCATGAACTGTATTTCATAAGCATAGCGTTTTTGTTGTTCTTCACTGATCATTTCTGGACGCATGCGGTCTGAAGGACCACAGTGAGAGAAATAAATGAATTTTATGCAACTACAGCAATAATACAATATTAACATTAAGTGCAGTGATCTGATTCGGACAGAAGTTCACTCACCCAGTTCAGAGGCTATGTTATTTGGCACAGTTACTTTGAGAATCTGGAAGAGAGAAGGAATGTGTTGGAAACACTTCAATCCAAAATCTTGAAACGGACCAAATCAGGGCTCAGCATTAAGAATTTGCTATGCTGGTTTGACTTAACCAGTAGTGCATGTTAGAATGTTCATATAACAATTAAAAGAACCAAAGACTTAAACTACTTCAGTCTGTGTGCATTGAATTTATTTAATACACGAGTTTCACAATTTGAGTTGAATTACTGAAATAAATGAACTTTTCCACGACATTCTAATTTATTGAGATGCACCTGTATATTTATATATAGCTTATTTTTTAAATAAAACAAATCATAGAATTAGCATACATATAGAAAGGAAAATGATAAATAAATTACAATTAACTCCAGATTTTAATTACAATAAATAAAATTGTATTAAGTGTGGAGGACATTATAAAATACAAGATAAATGTTTTATATTTTATATACCTCCAGTGTTACATGTAATACATTACAGCACCACCAGAGGTCACAACAATATAAATAACCAGAGAACTACTTTCTTCCATTTAATTTTAGCTCAGTCCACACCTCCATAGCCTTAATGTCAACTCAAAAAATGTGCAGAGAGAGAAATATTCAAAAGAAAAAGAAAGACTCAACATAAAAATAAAACATGAAAAGGGGGGTAAAAGCAGCCATTCATCAGTGGAGGTCATTCCCATGACCCAAAGCAGGTCAGGCAAACACACAGATACATGTCTAAAACAGGGGTAGAAAATGCAGAGAAAAAAAGTGACATTGGACAGAAGGGGCAGGCAGACAGACTGGAGGGAAAGGACAAAAACTTTGAATGATGAAATGAAGTCTAAAAAGAGACGGATCGGGTGAGAAACAGACAAGTTGGGGAAATGATGACCTGATATATCATATGAAATTGAAAGAAAGAACTGGATAACATGCTGTCCATTTCTAATGACATCTAATGAATGTCAGATGTATTCAAAGTATAGTCAGAAAGAACCATAAATCTCACCCATACCAAATATGACATGAAAAAACAGAAATAAAAACTTCATTAAACATTACATTACTGTAATCAAAAACAGCCCAACTTGACAAAGATTTGAGTCATTTTAATGAGTCATTTAAATAATTTTATTTCTATTTGTCTAAAATCACTGTTAATTACTTTATAACTATTATTCATTCAGTATTTATGACCTTCCATTACTTGAGGTTACATGGAACATTTGTACATGTAAAAACATTTTTTTTTATGATTCATAAATAAATCTATTAAAAAAAACCTTACTGATAAAAAGACATCCATGGATATGTGATGGTTATGCATCAACTACCATTCTGCACTTGTTTTAACCAGAAATGTCTTTACAAATCATATTCCTATTAATCTGCCTCAATATTTTAGAAAACAATATACTAAAACATTAGACAGCTTTCTTCACTTTGAAAGAAAACACGCTTAAAGATAAGACTGACGGACAGCAGATCACCTGTGTGATAAATAAAATACAGCTTCAAAAAAATCCCCAGCATTCCTTTAGGGGGTCTAACAAAAACATAGACAAGAAAACGAGGGGTGGACTGAAAAGTGTGACAGAACAAAGAGCCAGACTAGTAAAGTGATAAACAAACTTGACAGCCGAATGTCTAGAACTCTTCTTGTTCACATACCGCTCCTTTTTCCAGGTAAGTGTTGTAGAATTCCCCAAAGTGCTTCTTGGTGTCTTTGGCATTGAAGTTCTTGAAGAGGTCAGCATGAAGGTAGCATAGCTAAGACAAGGGGAAAAGAAAGAGAGAGAGATCGAGTGAGGAAGATTAAAGAAAGACAAGCGCAACAAAACTGACAGATTTAGACACCAAAAATAGAGGGATAGTAATACGTGCTATGTTAGCACATGCTGACCAGTGAGAAAATAGTATTAGGAGGGAGGACAGGGACAAATTGACCAATCTAAAATTAAAGGGGTCATATGATGCGATTTAAATTTTTCCTTTTTATTCTCGCTGTAGTATTGTTGCTGCCGCCATGTCGTGAAGGCGCTGTGTGAAAGTAGCGAAACTACTTTGTTTGGCCTTCCAAGAGGACGATATCCGCTTCTTCATGCCTAGAGCCGATCTGTGCTGGTCGCTGAGGAAATACATTAACTTTGCGCTATGAAACAATAATGTACAGTATGCGGAAAATAATGTGTTTTTTTAACTTGAAACCGCATAAACATTTTATTATACCAAATACACCAAATAATGTTCTTTTTATCATATGACCCTTTTAATGAACACAATATAGTACCTGTTGGATTTGAAAGCAACCATAACTTGTCAAACTCAATAATATATAGGTACACAAAAGGAAAACAGTATAGGGTAAGATGTCCACCATGTTTTTGCCTTGACTTGACCACAGATATCACTAAATCAAATTTAATGAATGGTTATGCTCTAAATAATTGACATTTTTTTCTGAACATCAACATCTGTGAGATTGATCCTATCTGAACGGTTTTGAGGTTAAATGTAGAAAGAGATAAAGGATTTGGGATTTGGGAGACGGTACCTGGGGTAGATCACATTGGCTGCATGCCAAATAAAGAAAGAAATACTCTTTCATGCATTAAATCACATGAAAAGGGCTTTATCTACATACATGACACCCCCCCCGGCT